GTTGTCGCCCTGTTGATGACGTCAGCGACGCGGTTTAATCGGGCACGGCTTAGTCGAGCGCGGTTTTGACGGGTCACGCAGGTTAATAAGGCTAAATTGTAAGGAATGCTGTAAGGAATCAGTCATTGTTTAATAATGTATCCAAACTGAATTTGCTAAAATGCTCTTTTCTTAATTAGCCTTAATGGTGCATGAAGAACATTGAAAAAAGGACTTTGCTACTCTATAACTGTATGCTGTATAACTAGAAGTCACAGTTGAGAACTTTATAGAAAATTTGAAATTTTTTACTTCAAATTCCACGGGAAATTTTAAAATACTGTTTTGAAATATAATTGCAAGAATGACATAACTATCTCTCGCATGTTGTAACAATTAAGTCTTTATATTTAAAGTACCTATTCTCTCCTGCTCTCTTCCCATTTTCCCACTCTCCTTGATATTCTGCGTTTAGGCAGTAACTCAGCATTTCTTCGCATAGTACGATGTAGATGTCTTTCTGAAGAATATGGACTGAATACTTCAAACAAAGACGAGATCAGTAAGTTTATTTAGTTGTGTCCTTTTGCAGTGTTTTCATGTACAAATCAAATATGTTTGATGTAGAAGAGGCACGGCCTTTTTTCTGCTTTCTTCATTTTTGCTATAATGTAAAGGCAAGTTTTTAATTGCAAGAAAGATCTGAGATCTCCCAAAAAACCCACTTTGAATTTGTATATATTGTGAATGCAATGTTGCAGTGATGAATCACATGTGTAGCTTGTTTTTATTGTTCAGTAAATACTCTTATTGTGCCTGTATAACATTTGAATCAGTCACAATCTGAATGCAGAGAATAGACAGGAGGAGAGATATGATATGAAAACATTCTTATAGCAAGTGGAATATGCTATGTGAAAAATTGAGGAATAGGAAACATATTTAGTTAAATTAATCTCAAGCCTTTTACAATTTTCTCTTGTAAATTATATTTTGTTTTGTTTCTTGAAGCTTCTCATATGGATAATCCAGATAGTGAAATGGTGCTCTACCTAATGTTACGAGCTGTGGACAGATTTTTTAAACACAATGGTAGATACCCTGGTAAGGTTGTATGTATATATCCTTTCTGAGATAAAAATGAATACTTTCTCTAATACTGTAATTTCTGTAATTTTGTTCTTTTCTGCTTTTTCTATAGGATAGAATATTCTCTAACAAAATTATATGTCATTTACTTGCAATAAAAAGTTAGTTCCGTCTATAATAATTATATCTTTTTTTCAGGGGTTTATAACTATCAAGTGGAGGATGACATTGGAAAACTGAAATCTTGCCTTAATAGTTTTCTTCAGGAGTATGGATTGCCTGTAACAGTCAAAGATGATTATGTCCATGAATTGTAAGTGTTGTTAAAAAAATACTTTCCAAGATCTTATTATGATGCATTATAATATGACAACTTTGTTTTCTTTTTGTAGTTGTCGATACGGAGCTGCTGAGCCACACACCATAGCAGCATTCATAGGAGGTAAAAAGATTGCTTTTTTCATGTGTCGATGGTGAACCACAAGCCAATTGACACGTAAAAAGATTTAGTATGTCTTACTTTGATACTATTTTGTATTCTCATGCCCATTGTACTAATATCTTTATGTTGATTAGAGGTAGTAACTATTCATTATATTGATATCATTCCATCTCCTCTGATAAAAATGTCTCAGATTTAAAATTGTTTCCAAAGTTTATACATGTACAATAATATTAGTTTCTACTCTATAGTTGTTCGTATATTTTGATATATGCGCTGAGATATTAAACAAATAAGCTCTAAACTGCAGCCATTATTCTTTTGTGACAAATCTTATATGCACATAAAACTCCCCAGATTAAATTGCCCTGTTTGAATTTTAATTGGGAGGATCAACCAACATGAATTTGGAATCACAAATTGCTAACAAAAATAATGAAGATCCTACCATAATTTCTTAGGGAACAAAGTTGGTAATTGAATTTTCCAATACCTATTACCCCATTTCTCTTGTTGATGACAGGCTGTATAAGGGCTCAACTGACAAATTCAGCTTATGGACAAGCTTGTGCCACAAAAAACTCTTGCCAGGGTTTTTTTAACTGCCAGAGATTTAACATGGAAAAAGTGCAATTGGCCATTGAGCTGAGTATTCATGCTTTATTTCTACCCATTGACGTAAGGTGGTATCTGTTAAAAAAAAATGTAGAGCTAGAAAATAAGCATTTGGATTTGAATCAATTGGCTTCTGTTACATATTTTTAATTTGTCATTCCTTGGCTGTTTTACAGGAGCTGCTGCTCAGGAAGTTGTGAAAATTGTTACCAGGCAATTTGTAATATTTAATAACACCTACATTTACAATGGGATGTCTCAGACCTCAGCAACGTTCAAACTGTAAACCAACCAAACTGTGTTGTTGAAATCTGTAGCTGCTTTTGATTTGCATTCTGTTCTGTTAAAAGTATTGCTGAAAAGAATGTATGATGCCAGTTGCTTTCTTTGTATTATTTTTGTCTTTCTAAATTCTTTGAAATTGTAATAAAGAATGTACCTCGCATTTCAATAAAAGATACTGGAATGTGAACATTATGACTTCTTCAAAATGTAGCCAGATTACCTACACCGATTCTCCATATTTTACATTTTGTTCTTCACAAAAACATTAGCTGGTTTACAGGACTCAGGAAAGTATTTTTAAACATTGTGTTAAATAAATTACTGTTTGAAGCAAATGGAGAGTGGTATTAAGTGCAATGTGTTGGATCTTCATGATTAAGAGACAGTTTCTTGCAAAATACAGATATTCCCCATGCAAAGACTGGTTCACAAAGAGGGTTGGGCATTCATTGAAAACTACTAGTGAAGAAAAAGGCAGCAATTTTTAATTGATTTTTTCTTTCCACTGCTGAAACCAATATCTTTTTGAACATTGTTTTGGAGGTTTTCATAATCCTTATAGCAGCTTTGGGGGATATTTGGCTACAAAGAAATAGAGCCCACAAAAACCACTGCTCAGATTTTCCTCTACGATCAGCTGTGGTCTAAATTCCAGACCCCACGCACTATATAATATGCAGTGTTGTTCTCAATATTATGAATGTGTCTTTAAACCATTAAGAAAATGTAAAATGTTTTGGAAAAGAATTCATGACACTGTGATATAGTGGTAAGGGTTACATGCAATAAACATTTTTAATGGGTCATGCAAGTTTTATTTATATTTTGAGAAAAGCAAGCCCTTTAAAAATGGCTGCTCTTGAAACATTTCAGTGCAAAATCATTGTTGATATCTCTGATTCTGTCACTAGAACAGTAATGGAAACACTCAATTTCAGACCTGTATATCCTCCCCCCCCCCCTTTCTATCTGATCTATTTGATCTATTTGGATTTCACTAAGTTTTTTAGCTGCACACTAAGTTTGGAAATTTGATAATCTACCTTTGAAAGGATGTTATGGGTCATTGGTACAAGAAAATTTGGTCCCAAATGTGGTCATAAGTTGAGGATTACCAACACAGGAGATAAAGCTGCAGCCTTACTGCATTTAGTAGGTGGTGGGAACATCCCAATCAGTCTGTTTGTGTTCTCATTCAGAGCCCATTTTTTGGGTAGGAAAAGGATCTGCCATCATTGCTTCCCCTCCAGGAAAAAAAAATTGCCCAATTTTTAAACGGGGAAACAAGAAAGAAATGAAGACTTGTAAAGGCCACACCAAGGTGGCTAATATTGGAAGTACAGATTGGTGGCCTGCAGACTCCCATCGCCAAGGCCCCTTCAGTCCTGCCAGCCAAGACCAGAGACAAATTTGAAAGCTTATCATTTGCTTCCTGGTTTGTCCTCTGAGCCAGCTGAGCAGTGGGTGCTCAGCAAAGAATGCTGGGACTTGTAGTTCCAATTTACCTGGCGGGCACCTGATGGGGTGGGCTGCTATTGAATGACATAGGCAGCTTGGCGGGAGAGGGATGTTTGCCCACCTGGGAGGCAGAGACATGTTTATTTGACGCAGATTTGATACAAATGACCAACAAAACCCACTGCATTGAAGACCTGAGTAAAATATTGGGAAGAAACATGATAAAATTCTCCTTCGGAGTACCTAGAGGGGTCTTTTTTGAGGCCTCGGCGGCACTTATTTGTGATTATTTTTGGAAAAGCGCCCCATTTGGCATGAGAGGAAGTCGGGCCTTCAATTCTGATTGAATATAGTCTCAGAATTGATTCAGTCACATCCTGTTTTTACTAGGTGGCATCTAACATCTCTATATCGTTAATAGTGTGTGTGTGTGTGGGGGGGAATGTATGGTTTTGACCTCAAATATCCATTTTATTCTTCAAGAAACCAGGAAGACATTTTCAGTTCAAGAGGGCTGACAGGCCCCATTTACTGGATTCGTATGTCTCATGATGTCCTAATATGGCTGCTTGATTGGAGCTTCATTCGTTTATAATCCAGCCCAGGGGTGCTTGCGGGGTGTCAAAAAAGTCAAGATGGCGGCCGCAATATTGCCCTTGAAGTTTCACCTGTTTTGTTTTGTTTTTATGCTGCCATCTTGACTTTGTTGCCTTGAAATGCAGGCACCCTGAATGGCATGGAACTGAGGACCCATTCTCTGCATTGGAGAGACAAAAAACACTTTTTAATCTTTGCAAGGGAGGCATTTCCACCTAACCTGAAAATGCAAATTGCCAAGCAATTCAGGCAAAGTAAAAAGCATTTATTAAGGAGGAGGGTCAAGTCTTTTTATAGGGTACAGAAACAATTTATACATATATTTAGTATATGCGATACATTAGAAATCAAGTGCTCAAACAAACACACAGATTATATGTGAGAATTGATCGATAGAAAACGATTCTAGGTAACAGTCCAGAAGTGGCAAATTTATGGGTTAAACTATAAATTAAATTATTCCCTTTTCCAGCCAGGTTTGCATCTAAGGGTTTCTGTTGTTTAATTGTGGAAAAGGCAAGTTCTTGCAAATCAAAAGAAATGGTCTTGAATACGAAGGGGGAAAAATGCTTTTTTTAAATTAGAAAAGAGGCCTGGGTTACCATGTTAAAAATGCTAATATTGCCTTTTTAAAATGTTAATTATGAAGCATAAAATTCCAAGTACCAGATCCACCCATTTTTTTAATACCTCCATTTTGACATTTTGGACTGCAGATGCCCCAGACCAAGCGTGGGTTTTGTAAATGAAGAAATTGCTTGTGTTTTATTTCTCCTTCACCTTCTTTATTATAGATAAAAGCTGAGGAAAAAATATGATCAAAATGGAAAATGGAAAAGATCAGAAAATCACTTGTGGTAAGATTGGCATAGACACAATAAATTAAAGGTTGATATTAAATCTGCTCTGTGTATTCACAACTCTGGAAAGAGTTCTTTTTCTGGTATTTGTGAATGCACAAACAAGTTCAAACTTCCATGTAAATAAAGACATGGATTAACAAGAGCAATTCCCATTTATTAAAAAAATATTTTTACTCAGTACACTAACTAGTAATTGTTTGGAATATTGTTGGCATTCTTAACATTTGTGCAATTGGCTGTTACAGATGACAAGATTCTACTATTGACAAGTTTTTTTTAAAAAAAAAGGTTTCTGAAATTATTGTGTTATCCTTTCAGATATGAAAACGGATTTGAATTTACTCCTTGAATGCCTTAAGTATCAAATGGACCATCCAACTTCTCAAAAGGAAGCCTTGGTTACTATTTATTCGGTTTGTCAACAAAACAGTAAGCTACTGTTTACAATTGTAGGTCTATTGGGTTTGTTTTGGTCATAGGGATTATTAGTATGGAAATAAATGTTATTTTAAAACATCATCTGTTATTCACTATTCATCTGTTTTTGCTACAGGTGCTGCCTGTGATTATTTTAGAGAAATAGGTGGCTTGATATTTGTATGGAATCTTGCAAAGTCACAAATGCACAGTTTGGTTCAAGAAGCTGCTTTATTTACATTAGGAGGTTTAGCTGAGAATAATGGTAAGACAAAATTTCATTCTCATTTCATTATATCATTATTTCAGAATCCTCGGTTTTTATTGATCCATTTTTGACGATCAGTACAATAAAATGTGCATTTAGAAATATTTACTGTTTATCTAAGATCTGATCACCTGAAAAATAATTTTATTAAGGAAATCTCCATGTAACAGTAGCTCAGATGGAGGGGCAAAAGATGGCGAGCCAGCTATATTTTAAACCAGATGTTTAAATGTCAGCTTTTGTTTTCCATAGAAGGAAAATTAAAGAACATAAATATTGAGCAAATGCCATAATATTTGCTCCCAACAATCTGGATTATTGGGGGCAAGTATGCATAATTATCAGGAAATTCAATTGTATTTATCAATTAATGTAATGCAATATAGTCTTATTCACATTATATTTATTTTTTCCAGTGTTCTGTCAGCAGATGTTATGCACAGCTGAATTATTTAAGGATCTTCGTACGTTTTTAACTAATAAGGATTCAAGTATGAATTTGAAAAGAATGTCTGTATATGTCTTACTGGTGCTGGTTTCAAATAATAGTAAGATTTCTTCTTCTTCTTTATCCATGTATAAAGAAATTGTTCAAACACATATAAAGGCAGTCCTCACTTTAACAATATGAAGTCTACTAAGATTAGTTCCCATCTAATTGGGACTCACTGGTAGGAATCCGAAATCCTAGTTTGTTTTAGGTAAAATGTTGAAAATTTGTAAACAATCATTAGATTTCATTATTAGTTGCTTAAAATTTGTTCTATTTATTTTTTTTAAATGTTATTTAAAAATATAGACAGTGGACAAACACACATGAGAGAATCTGGATGCCTCAGTGTTCTGCTCCAGTTATTCAGGTAAATTAACCCTAACAAAATTGAATTAAAAAGTAATTTTTATAAAATGACTTTTTTCATTATATGCTATCTATTTTCTTGTACAGGATAATTCCTTCAGAATCTCAAATGAACCTTTTCGATCATAAAATTGATCAGTATCATCTATGGTCCTCGGTTTGTAGTAATCTTTGTGTATGTGTCAACAATCCTCAGAATGGTAATTAGTTTATCAAGCATTTCCTCCTCCTCCTCCTCCTCCTCCTCCTCCTCTTCTTCTCCTTCTCCTTCTCCTCCTCCTTCTATAAATATAGGTGGGAGGGGATGACAAATGGCTTGTGTTCAACACACATTTTGTTCCCCTCCAGAGGAAAATCAGAAAGCCTGTAGTTTGGTTTTTCCATATGCAAAAGATTGGCTGCAAAGTAGTATGAAGGCTGAGATAATTCGCCCAATATGTTCATTCATTGGGCTCACTGTTGCAAATAATTGTAAGTATCTAAAAATACACACTAGGAAATTGTTTATTCTGTGGAGTAAAATATCATTCCTAAGTAGGGAGAAAAGAGATAGAGTGTCCTAATGTGTGATAGAAACTCTAATGTGATTTTGAGAGGATGAAGTTTGCAATAAGCAAAGTGATGATGTAAAGTAAGCGATGTAGTGTAGTCTATGCAGCAAGGCTGGCATATATTTTGCTTTTCTTTTTTTTGTTTAATTGTGTGATTTTTCTTTCTCTTATTAAGTTGGTTTTAAGTTAATGCTACAGTTTACATTTCCTTTCTAAACATAGTGAAATCCAAAATTTGGCAGTGCCATTGAAGGGGATTAGGAGCAGCAGAAAGGAGATCAAAAGGCTACAAAAGGCATGATTTGATGTATTGTGCAAGCCAAACATTTTGAGTTATCCAGAAAAATGTTATTTAGAAATATCAATTTTTAAGATTTAAAACTTAAAAATTTAAGGTTACATGAGAACATCAGTATTTCTTACAGTTTCCCATGTGTACTTATTTTATGAATCTTTTGTGTGAGGCCATGGAATAAACTAGTTTTGTGTACATCAGTTACACATTTTGTTCACCTATCTCAGTTATAAATGCAGTTACAACTGAGTTTATTTGAGATTCCTTTAGATATTTTTTTATTTTGATTTAGGATTTTGGTTTATTTATCTGCTTTAACATAATTAAAGAACTAATGAAACATTGCTCCCTTCTCCAAATCTGTTTAACTTTATAATGTATTTAACTTTAAACATCATTATCTTAAAGCAATCTGATAATGGTTTATTTTGGGGATTTTTTTTTTCAAGCAAGAACGCAGAATTTTTTTATTTCTATTGGGGGATTAGCTGTTTTGGATGAGCTTCTTCTCAAACTGATACATGGTTCATTGGAGAACAATACAAATCTAAAACTTGCTGTGGTGGTGATAAAAACATTGGATGCCTGCATTGCTAACAATGGTAAATAGTTTCTATTCATAAACTTACTGTTAATTACATAGTGTGTTCTGTGTGTGGATTTATATTCAATTCATTGCCTTAATAGTAACATATAATCTTACCTGTTGATCTTATTGCTAGGATCTGTTTTGCCTTCTGGTTTTCTCTGAAAGAATTGCAAATGTGGTTGAAAGATTTTAAACTACATTAGAAATGCTGTAAGAGCAGGGGTTGGTTCCTGCCAGTAGTGTTTAGAATCGCTTCCAGCTCCCGCCCCCCCCCCCCCCCCCGGCCTGTCTGCACATCATCAAGATGAAGAGCAAGAGGAAGAATTCTGGGAGTTGAAGTCCACAAGTCTTAAAGCTGTCAAGTTTGAACACCCCTGGGGTTTTTTTTCCTAAAGGGTGAGGTGTGCAAGGGTCTTGTAACTTGACAGCTTTAAGATTGCATCCTTCAAATGCCAGAGTTCCTGAGCCAACATGACTGGAGGAGGAATTCTGGGAGTTGAAGTCCACAAGTCTTAAAGCTGTCAAGTTTGAACACCCCTGGTTTTTTTTTTCTAAAGGGTTAGGGGTGCAAGGGTCTTGTAACTTGACAGCTTTAAGACTTGCGTGCTTCAAATGCCAGAGTTTCTGAGCCAACATTTTGGTTGCTAAGCAAGAGCGTTGTTAAGTGAGTTTCACCACATTTTACAAGTTGGCCATGCCCACCTGGTCACATGGACGCAAGCCACTCCCACAAAGCAGGCCACACTTACAGAAGAGGTTCTAAATTTTTTTTGAAACCCACCACTGTGTAAGAGGCATAAGAGAGCTGAAAGTCTTCCAGATCTCCTTCAATGTACAGATAACCCTTCAACCATTCATTTAGAGACTGGTCACAGTTACAACAGCAATGAAAAAAGTGACAACCGGTCTTGGCACTTACGACCATGGAAGCATCCTTAAGGTCACCTGGTCTAAATTAGGCACTTGGCAACCACCATGTATTTATGACAGTTGCAGCTTCTCAGGGTTATGTGATTGTCATTTACAACCTTCCAGCTGGTTTCCGACAAGCAATAGAAGCTGGGTTTGTTTAATGACCATGCATCCACTAAACAACCACATTAAACCATGACTATGGCAAAAAAATTGTCATAATGTCAAGCATAATTCACTTATTGACTACCTTACTTCACAATGGAAGTATTGGTCTCATTAGGTGGTTGTAAGTTGAGGACTATCTCTATTTTCACTTCTTATATGAGTCACAGTGGTGCAGTGGTTAGAGTGCAGTACTGCTGCCTGCCTGCAATTTGGCAGTTCAAATCTCACCAGGGCTCAAGGTTGACTCAACCTTCCATCCTTCCGAGATGGGTAAAATGAGAACCTAGATTGTTGGGGTCAAGATGATGACCCTATAAACTGCTTAGAGAGAGTTGTAAAGCACTGTGAAGTGGTATATTGCTATATCCCTGTGTTTATCATGGTTCAGATAGTAACATTTGATCCAGAGAGAAAGTTTGAAAAAACTAGAACTTTGTATATGGTTTCATTCTATTGCATACCTAATTTTTTTTTAAAAACTGTTTTGTGTTTGCAGCTACAGTTGGCATTCACTTATCAAAGTATAACATTGTGCCTAATCTACTGAAACTGCTTTCTTACAACATTTTGGACTCAGGAGAGCGATTCAGCATTATACTTACTCTTGGACATTGTACAGAAGTCTGTGGTAAGATTCCTAATAATATATTGACTTATTTATTTGAGGGTAGTGAATGCTGCATTGAGATGCAGACTGTATTCGAATTTCAACATGTAGTTTATAGCAATAAACAAGAATGACCAAAGCTGATATTGATAGAATAATCTATGTCTGATTTTTCAAGTTGCATTTAGCTTTCATCTAAATGGAAAAATCAGCCAAAATAAAACATTGGAAATTCCTAGTGATGTAAGTGCAATAAAATATGAAGGAAGTCATTCCAACAACTTAATAGAACTTTGCTCCCTAAATGGGGCAATTTGCAATTGTGTATGCATTTATCTGAGGGAGAAGCTCTGAGCAGCCACAAGTAGGATTTGACAATATCTAGGAATTGTGCTTTAGTTAGCTTTCCAACTGTGGAATCGTAGGAGTCATTCTCATATCTGCTCTCTGCTGAAATATGTACTGTATATAGTACTTTGAATTACTACTGATTTGGTTTACACATAATAGTATGCTACAATTAACTTAAAATGGTTTATTAAATAAACTAAAAGTTTTGTGCAACATAAGCCATAAACTGTGATTTGCAAACTACAACGTAGTGGTCCAGAAAACACCTTAAATTATATATTGGTTGCTGTACACGCTCTGTAACTATCTTTTAGAATTTTGGGGGGGATTAATTTTTTTCTGGATAACTATTATAGTTCTAAGCTAATATAAGTTCTTGAGTTTATGATATATTGTAAAAATAAACTGCTGATGGCAAGTTGGCAGTGATAACAAGATGTGACTTTAAATTTTAGACCTTACTAGTAGTTTGAGATTTGAAGTAAGTGAGATCACATGTTTCTGATTAAGCAAACTTGTGCTGAAAAACTCAGAATCAATTGCTTTTTCTTGGAAAGATGTTTTCAAATGATCTTATTTTTACAGTTTGAAGAAATATGTTTACTAAGGCTGATTTTTTTTAGAGGAAAATCAGTATACTCTGATTAAGAACAATGGCCTTCCACTTATGATTCAAGCCCTAACTGAAATGCAGGATGATGAACTAAATAAAGCGGCTACCTTTGTATTGGAAAACTGCAAACAGATGAGTAAGATTATCTTGATTTCTGTATTTAAAATCAACCGGAAAGGCATCTGAATAGTCACTTGGATGGTTAAATTCAGAAGTAACTACTGTATCCAAGTGCTCAGTATGTGAACCTGTTGCAAAATCAGTTCCTTAGGTTGAAACTAATGGTATTTGTTAGACTGTCTTCCAATGTTTAGATTGTAAAGTATCATTTTATAAGAAGTTTAATTTTGTGATTGAGAATGTGTTTTTTGTGAAAGCAGTGCTATAAGTTAACAAATGTTTCTAAAATTCTCCTAGTGGCATCTAATGTGATGCCCTCAGTTGTTTTATCCTATGCTAAAACTCTATGATTGGAGATGATGATTTCATCCTGAGATGCTTGGATCAAGAAACTACTATTAAACCACCCATTCTGGTCATTTGGGCGGTTTCTTGTGTGACTAAAATATTTCATTTGATACAAATCAAACCTTAAATATGTTACGTATGAGATGAGATGGATGTAATGTACTGTCTTTAATATGAAATATATAATCTTTAAGGGATGTGGTGGCTCAATGGCTAAGACGCTGAGCTTGTCGATCAGAAAGGTTGGCAGTTCAGTGGTTCAAATCCCTAGTGCCACGTAACAGAGTGAGCACCTGTTACTTGTCCCAGCTATTGCCAACCTAGCAGTTCGAAAGCACATAAAAAAGTGCAAGTAGAAAAATAGGAACCATCTTTGGTGGGAAGGTAACAGTATTCCGTGTGTCTTTGGCGTCTAGTCATGATCACGGAGATGTCTTCAGTCGGCACTAGTTCTTCGGCTTTGAAATGGAGAGGAGCACTGCCCCCTAGAGTCACGAATGACTAGCACATATGTGCAAGGGGAACCTTTACCTTTACTTTACCTTTACGTATCTTTATTTCTGTGAAACATTTGTTTCTATTCTTTTTCACAAGCTGAAAAATTGTCGGTGAAGATGAATCAGCATTCATTCCAAGAGGACGAAAGAAGAATATTGGAAGTAGATTGGGAGAACAAAGAAAGGATTCTTGAAGATTATTGGAATGAAGCCAAACAAATTTTAAACAGAATCAAAGGGCTTGAAAATGAACAAGAGGTGTTTTTTCCCCCTTCTTCTTCTTCTCCCTCCCTCCCTCCCTCTTAGTAGTTGAGGAAATCTATCAAAATCAGAAAGCCTCTCCTGACATTCTCAGTAGAATCTAATTGTTTTGTTTTATTCCAGTCTTTCAGTTCTTGGAATTAATAACTCAATAAGCTATGCTCATTTGCATTTTAAAAATAAATGGAATGAAATTCCACTCCCCTGTTAGTCAGTGCTTGATGGCCCTTTCTAGCTATTGTGGGTATTCTTTTACATATAGGTTTGATTTCTTGAAAAGTAGTTACTGCTGAGATAAATATTCAGTCATGGTACTAAATTAATGGATTACCCTATATCTATATGAGCTTTTTTGAAAGCAGTTTTTCACTGGCTTTCCTGTTGTTTTTATTGTCAAACAGAAGGTGTAATGTTTGCTTAGTTTTGTTTAACATCTACAGTCATGTTTGGCCTGGTCCTATACTGCAGCTTTGTGTTTTGTCTATGCATTTGTTTAATTTCCCTACTGTTTTTAAACAGGAAAATATCAGAAGAGAAATACTAATTAATGAGGATACCCCTCAAGAAAAGTTTTTTCAGGCTATGACCCAATACCGTCAAACAAATTCCAGCAAGCAGCCTTTAGAGAACAGCAAAATATGTTCAAAAATGAAACACCCTCGACAAAATACTATCTCTAAAGTGCAGAATACTTCTAAATTTGAAAAGAGTTCTTCTAGTAGAGAACAATTGAAGTCTGCCGTTTGGAATTCAACTGATGCTTCGCTCACTCAAAATGATCACAATAATCTTTATGCAGCTGAAAAAACAACAACACCCAACATAAATGAAGCTTATATTACAAATAAAAACAGTTTTTGTGATTTTAGGAAAGTTGATGCCCAAGCAAGGTACTGTACCTAGGATCTTCTGTCTAAAGCTGGCTTGTTAGTTTGATCTTAATTATAAATCAGATTTTCAAATGGAAATTTCATATTGGGTTGCTTCCAGATTTAGTTATGTTTAGGATAGATCCAGTTATTTTAAATGATAAAGGGTCCCTTATATTATCTAATTCCATTTTAAGTTTTGGGATGAATTCTGAACAGCCTAGAATTTTATCTTAAATTGTATGTTATCTATGGTAAATGTTTCTCTAAAAAATATAAATCAATTAATATCTTTCATAATAATTCACGATTTCCAGATAATGCCACATACAGGAACAATGTGTGATATTCTGTGAATTTTTCCTCGCATATCAATAATAAATTAATTATAGGGTGTGAAAATTTTCCAAATTTGAGTTTGAATGTGAAACATCAAATTGATCAGGAGGCAAAGCAATACTGTGCTGTCACAATACAAATCCTGCCCACTTTGTATATGTGTGTCATGGTGTTATATGTGTGTACAAATGAGATGGAGTTTGTGGCACAAAAGTACAACATTGGTTTTAGCCTTTGACAGACTTGGCTGTGGATACCCAGGAATAAACACGGTATAATCCTCAGTTAGCGGTGAGATATGAAAGATCGAAATACTTTTGAGGCAGCTGTCAAATCTCCAAGTTAAAATTCTCAATAATACTCTTTTAATCTTTTCAGTGAAATCATTTTTAAGAAACCAGATTGTGTAGTAAAAAGCCCAATGCGAAAGATTCAACATTCAGGTAGATATAATTTATCTAAATATTTTAATTTCAATTTGATTTTTGGAAATTATATTGTTTTTTGCATGGATGGCTAAAAGGTACACAGCTACATTCTGTGATATGCTACTCAAAAGAGCTAAGTATGGATAGAATATTGTTACAACAATAATAAGTTTGCTTTCTATTGAAAATATGATTCTAATTCTTTTTAACATTCTTTTGAAGAATCAATATGTAAACTAAACATTACCAATGTAAGCCCTGTTTTCTGTATCATACAAAGGAAGCTAGTATAACAGAGTTAGTGATTAAATTGATAGATCAAAAAATAAGCTGGAAATGTTAGTTGGCAAGTAGTTTTTTTTTATGCTGGTGTGTATTACAGTATTTCAGTTTAATTCTTTTTAAATACAGTGGTAATATATAAAAATAAATACATCCATTGATTAATGCATTTCACATTAGATATTTTATTTTTCAAAGAGCTAAAATATCCAAGGAACCCAAGCAGAGGAATGGGCCATATTCTGACTGTTCCCCCTAAAATAAGAGAACTCAGATGTTCAGGTAATTAAAAAAAAACATATTTAAATATGCTCATAGATTTTTATGTTCAAAAGGAAGTCCCACTGAATTAAACAGTAGTGATACCCCAAATACAATTTCAGCCATTCAGTCAGCCTATCCAAATAATGAAAATTGTTAAGAGGGCTGTGCAACATTCCTAATATTAGTTATATGGGTATAGAAAGATGGCATGGATAGTCAGTACAATTTTCTGGGACTGCTCTCCTCCTGGCTATGTGCCGATATTATCCTTTTCTTTGGGGTAGAGGGGTTTGCTATTATATAACTTGGCTCCTTCCTTGCCTAGCAGAAAAATCTCTTTGGGGGCTTTTTTATGAGGCTATAATTGACCTGTAGGGCAATGTAGATCTATTGATTTTGTAGATTTAGTGATGATTTATCACAATGTGGTTAAAGCATAAAATAAGAAATATTAAATAATTTAATGTCTTGCACCTGTAACATTTTATTTCTATAATATTATATTGTCAGGTTGTAGAATAGGAAGACTTTCCTTAAACAGCCGAAACTTTAGCAAGACTCTACAATCTTGTCCATATCTATGTGAACAACACAAAATTATTCTTGAATCTGAGATGGAATATAAAAGGAAATTGAGAAGATCCATTGTGGCTCACGAGAATACTTCTGCATATAATAGTAATCACAATGACCGGAGAGTCAGCTGCAAGAGAAGCTCAACAACTGTGAAAGAGTTAGGTGTGTCAAGGAACTTTTATCCCTGGTAGTAATATCTAGTTAGCCCCATTCTGTGGTAATTTTCAGAAAGCCTGAATAAACAAATAATGTTTTGTTTGAAACAGCAAATTTTCAATGTGATGCACATTCTAAGAACCAAACAATGAAACAGAACTATAGCCTTCAAGACCTGGACCTGAGCGAAAACCATCCATTTGAAAAGGAGGTATGGACACCTAAATACCAACGTTTTGTATATTAATATATGGGTACAAATTCTAACACCAGATAGTGTTCTTTGTTGAAAAGGCTTATACTTAAAACTCTTGGTGTACTGTTTTAATTATTGTTGCAGAGTACTGAATGTTGCAGTATACAGAATACTGAAACTCTATCAAATAGGTCTACAACAACTTTAAAGAAAAGGAGAATCAGGAAAGATTTTACGTCAGAAGAAATAAGTTATCTTTTTGAAGGTGTAAGGAAAATGGGGCATCATTGGAATTCAATTTTATGGGCTTACCCATTTCAGAAAGGACGGACGAATGTTGATCTTGCTAAGAAATACTGCAAGTTACAGGTATTTTTTGTTTTGTTTTCATAACTATTCTATATGGATTTGGATTGAGTGTAGCCGAGACCTTAAATTTAATAGCTAGTTGGATAAATCAGCTTAGAAGGACTAAGAAATGTGTTATTAGATGGTGATGGAGAAACCAATGATAAAAGTTAATCATATACCTTTCGAGAGATTTCTCTCGCTGGGCACACTGATAATATATCTGCTGAACAAATCTCCACATTGGTGACAGGAAGGGCATCCGGCCAGTAAACACTCTGCTGGCTTCATTCAGTTGCCCAAACTCTGCTCCGCAAGGAATTATGGGGTCATTAAATGATGATGATGATGATGATGATGCACTTTTCCTGATTACTTCAATTCTACAGCAGTATTAGAG